GGGGCAGTTAGGGGCAGGGGTCCCAGGAGGGGGCAGTCAGGGGACAAGGAACGGGGGGAGGGTTGGGGGTTCTGGGGGGGCGGGAAGTGGGAGGGGCAGGGGCGGGGCTAGGGCGGGGCTCCTCCCGTCCTCTTTTTTGCTTGCTGAAATATGGTAACCCTAGCCAGTGTGGGGTAAGGCAGGGGCACCTCCCAACTATAGTACTGTACTGTATGTACAGTATGTTTGTAAACACACAGCACGTGCACACTACTCCCCCCAGCGTAGTATTAAATTGCTTGTTTAAAATTGTTTAAAATGTATATAATGCCTTTTGTCTGGCAAAAAAAAAATTCCCTGGAATCTAACCACCCCATTTACATTAATTCTTATGGGGAAATTGGTTTCACTTAACATGGTTTCACTTAAAGTCACATTTTTCAGGAACATAACTACAACGTTAAATGAGGAGTTACTGTATAATCATAGTTCCTAGTATGGTAGTAAGTGTTTTGTAGTGTGAATAGTAAAATGCTTTAAAGCAGTGAGATGAGAGCATGCAACAGTGAGATGTCTGCTAAAAGCGGGGAGAAAATTGTTTTTTTTCAATGGCAGTGAGTGAAGTGTGGATTGTACTGTAGTTTAACAAAAGCGGGGCTGGTAAGGGGAACCTGGTGTCTGGTGGAGAGATGCAATAGATCTGCTCTGCTCTCAAAACCAAACGGAAAGTAGCAAGTCAGTGGTGATAGAAGAAGTAAACCTGGTCGAAGATGATCTCACCATTATGCGTCCCTTGTATTACAGACCCAAAGGGACAGCTCTCTGCTTATGCCGCACAGAGTGAACCTGAAACAGCCAAAGGAATCTCCCCAGTGGCAGTGATGGTTCTGCTTCCTTCTGCATCAGCCATCTACTGTGCTGGAACCCACTGCATGGTGCTACCCCAAATCTCTGTGCGGAATAATAAGGAGGTGACATATACCACAGATTTGACTCCTACCAGCATCTATCAGCTGGGAGAATTAGACATCTGTGTGACTCCCGCCCATGTTGCATTGAAATAAAGGGTAGAAAGAATATAACCTTAAACAGAAAGCAGATTTATTAAGGGATAGATACAACTGGGGGAAGAGTCACTATGGGGAACATTACAAATACCCAAAAATAGATTCCAGCAAGGGGGCATAAAGCCCAGGCCCTGAAACTGTCCCTTGGCTAAACTAATAAATGCCCCAAAATAATTACTGTCTCTCTTCTAGCTGCAGGAGGACACCGGCAACGGATGGTCCATCTCAGGATCTCTGGAACATCGGAGGATCTGGCTCTCTACTGCCCAAACCGGAGATCAACAGATCTGAGCGGACAGCACAGCCTTCACTGGATCCCTTGGTGGATTACAGGAGTCAGGTAAGTATCAGAGTCCTTGACAGATGTTAGTAGCTGAAGTCTTGATCAGATGCCGTGCAAAGAACCTGGACGTGGCTGCCTCGATGCTGCACAGCCCCTGCGTCACCTCTAACAGTCCCTTATACGCTATCTGAGGTGCGCCTTTCTGAGGCACCCTCTGACAGGCCCACACTGACAGGCCCTGCCCCCAACCGGTTCCAGCCAGTTTTCAGTCCCTCAAGTTCTGCCTGGAAACAGAGTTTTGGCGGGAAAATGCCATGAAGAAGGGCACCAAGATGGAGTTCAAACCCTCCCTAACATATCCACCATCTTGAATTGCTAATCTCCATTTTGAATTGCAGCAACATTCCTAACAGAATATAACCATGAACCAAAACCACCTTACAAAGGCATAAGGGAAAGCAAAGCCTTCTCAGAGGCAAGGGGAAGACAGAGCATGTGAAGGAAGGGGAGGAGGCAAAGCTAGGCTCTGATATACCCAGTTCTCAGCTGGCTTAAGGTCCTTGGGGGAGCTTTCCACTTGGGCACAGTGGAGAATTAAGCCCAAATCTCTTAAATAGACCAGAGTAATGGATCACTGAAATAAGGGTCTTAGCCTGGTATCCCCATTTATATAGCTGCTTTTACAGGAAAACAGTCTTTTACATTTTTAACCCATGGCTGGTCTTTTAAAATAAGTAATACAGAAGTAAAGGTGGATTAGCTGTCTCATTGGTTTGATGGGGATATAGCAACTCAAGGGCATACAATTCTCATTCACTTTAGCAGGGGTTCAAAGCCAGCTAGATAGCAAATCAATGACACATTTTTGCGCACTGTCTGAGCAAGACCTTGCTAATCTGCTTCTAAGGGCCGGTCTTCACTACGGGGGGGAGGGGGGGGTCGATTTAAGATACGCAAACGTGAATGGCGTAGCTGAATTCGATGTATCGGAGCCGACTTACCCCGCTGTGAGACCGGCGGCAAAATCGACCTCCGCGGCTCCCCGTCGACGGCGCTTACTCCTACCTCCGCTGGTGGAGTAAGAGCGTCGATTCAGGGATCGATTGTCACGTCCCGATGAGACGCGATAATTCGATCCCCGAGAGATCGATTTCTACCCGCTGATTCAGGCGGGTAGTGTAGACCTAGCCTTAGTCCCCATTCTATTGCCCAATTTGCTGGGCGCTCTCCCCAGACAAATTCTGCATAGCAGTGTACTTCGCTGCCTGCTTGCGCGCTGTGAGACAGTGTATGTCTCTTGGCAGCCATCTTCCATTGAATTTCTCTAAACCACAAAGTGCAGAACGACCATATCTCTGAGCAGCTGCAGGAATTTTTCTGGGAAATATAAACTCGTTGGAGGGCTAAGCTGCTACTATTATTCAGAGCTTTCATCCCAATGGCAATGCTTGTATTCCGCGCTGTTTAACGATCTGCTTGCATCTTTGCCACGAGAATCAGGAAAATTCCTTGACACTGCCTATGAAATTAATATGCATCTAGTGTGCTAATATAAATCATTTGTTATCTTAGTGCTTGGGAACGTGAACGAGGGATAGGACTATTATTTTTCTATCAAAACCTCATTTGGTTTGGTTGTAATTATAAAGCCGTATTGCAGTTGTGTTGGCGTTGTGTTGGGGATATATTATTCACAAGACTGATTCTGGCACTTTATTCTAAGGTAGCAGTGAGCACACCAAAGAAACAAATGACAGAATACATAAGAATTTCTGTGAGTGCTCTTTTTTAAAGAATCTCAAGTGTCAGAGCCAGCAACGTACAAATCTGCCTAAATGCTAGCCATATATTAGGACAACTTTCTTTAAGATTTTGAATGCATGTACAAACATACAATCAGTTTTCTTCTGTGTAGCTCTCTTTCAGAACAGTCTCCATCTGCTATTACATAGTATTGTAAAACATGAGATCAAAAAGAGAAATGGTCTGAAGTAAATAGGATGAAATTCAATAAGGACAAATGCGAAGTGCTCCACTTAGGAAGGAACCATCAGTTGCACACGTACAAAATGGGAAATGACTGCCTAGGAAGGAGTACTGCAGAAAGGGATCTGGGGGTCATAGTGGATCACAAGCTAAATATGAGTCAACAGTGTAACGCTGTGCCCAAAAAAGCAAACATCATTCTGGGACGTATTAGCAGTAAGCAAGACACGAGAAGTAATTCTTCTGCTCTACTCCGTGCTGATTAGGCCTCAGCTGGAGTATTGTGTCCAGTTCTGGGTGCCACATTTCAGGAAAGATGTGGACAAATTGGAGAAAGTCCAGAGAAGAGCAACAAAAATGATTAAAGGTCTAGAAAACATGACCTGTGAGGGAAGATTGAAAAAACTGGGTTTGTTTAGTCTGGAGAAGAGAAGACTGAGAGGGAACATGGATAACAGTTTTCAAGTACATAAAAGGTTGTTACAAGGAGGAGGGAGAAAAATTGTTCTTCTTAACCTCTGAGGATAGGACAAGAAGCAATGGGCTTAAATTGCAGCAAGGGCGGTTTAGGTTGAACATTAGGAAAAACTTCCTAACTGTCAGAGTGGTTAAGCACTGGAATAAATTGCCTAGGGAGGTTGTGGAATCTCCATCACTGGGGATTTTTAAGAGCAGGTTGGACAAACACTTGTCAGGGATAGTCTAGATAATACTTAGCCCTGCCTTGAGTGCAGGGCACTGGACTAGATGACCTCTCGAGGTCCCTTCCACTATGATTCTAGGAAAAGTAGCGCTAGAAACCAAAACTCCTTTGTCTCATGAGTACCTGCCTTGAATCCTTGAAACCACCATAAACTTTAAATTTATGTTTAAACCCCTTACTATCGGCAGTTACCAGTCTCCTATGGTTTCCAGCTATCTTACTCCACAAAGGGGGTTAATTACGCCTTCCATTAAAAAATAAGTGTATTTAGCACACCCATGGACATTACCCTCATCTGTGATCGATGGCAGTCATTAACACCTTCCAGCATAACAGTGTAAAGTCAGCATGCAGAAACTCTGCCCTTCAGTGGTTGCAGTGCAAATGGCAACTTTGCTGGTTTGACTACAGCATGCATTAACTCGGGACATGGCCATGGAGGCGGTAATGTCATCTGGTTCCCTCTTTGCATCTTTTTGAGACAGAGCATCTTTTAGGACTGGGATCAAGTCCCTGCAATATGATAAGCAATCACTGGATCCCAGAAGTAAAGAGGAGGGAGATGGTGAGGAATCACCAGACCCCACCCTAAGCACGTGGGTGACTCTGACGGGGAGGCTCTGCCAATAACAGAGCTGAGAATGTTGTGGTTCTGCATCTGTACTGAAAGAGCTTGTTGGTATGTTTGTAGCATATAGTTTGTAGCATGGGTCAGAGTTAAGAATAATTCCCCACCTTCTCCCCAATTTCCTCTCTCCAGTTCCCACTACTTAGCACCATCCCTGCCCCACACAGCCAGCATGATTATTGCTCACTCCCTGGGCCTAGGGCCTCTGCAGGCCCCACAGAGATAGAGAGAAGCAGCAGAGACATGGGCTGTTCCCTGCTTTCTGTGGCTGTGGGGCCAGTGGAGAGCCCCAGTGCCACAGCGAATGCTGGAGACAGAGCTGTGGCTCCAATGGAACAAGTTACACCCCCCCCCGCCCACCCACCCACCCATCTGATCTCCAAGTGTCTCAGCTGGTTAGTGTGAGGTGGGAACAGACCCAGAAAAAGGGGAATATTTTCTCCCCATTGAAAGAAGCTGTGAGATTGGTGATCAGATCACCATTATCTGGGTTGAAAAATGCCACTTGCCCCTTTTTATAGTGTACATAGATCCGTACCTTCTTGGGTGTCTGACGCAGTGGCAGGGGGTCCTGAGGGGTGGTGAGATCTGAGTAGTGACCCCTGGACTGTTCTATCCCCCAGATCCCCTCCTCGGGGGTAAATTTGATTTGTCCCTTCCTCCTCACAGACTCTCTAGCGACCCCTATGGCCCAGATTCTCCCCATCCCCTCCACTTCCCAGTAAATTTTCCCTGAAGTGAATCCCTCAGAACCCAGCACACAGAAAACTTCATCAAATCTCTCGGGATTGTCAGGCAGATCCTGATGTTTGGATTCCCATGTCACAGTCTTCTGGTCCTCAGACAGCTTGAGCCCAGGATGAGCTGTGCATGGATCCAGAGTTATCTTCACTTCTGAGAGAGAGAATCAAAGCATCAGAGGCAGAGCTCAGCTCTGGGGGAGGACTTAGCAGCCCTGCTCTGGCCAGGACAGCCCCTAATTTTCTGTCTTGCTGCCAGGAGCGGACACTGCTAGGGCTGGGTAAGGATTAACTGCAGCTCCCTCCGCCCAGGTACCTGGAGCTGCTGCTGTGCTGTTTGCAGGTCTGGGATGGGCGGGTCTAGGCCCACCCAGGACTAAGGCCCATCCACTCAACTAACCGAGAGGAACCACTAAGCCCAGGCCACAGTTGAGTACCTGGGACAACAAAGGAGAAACCAGGAGCAGGAGTGAGGCAAAAAATGAGGGATCCGGAGGGGGACACCGAGCAGAGAACCCCTGCCAGCACCCCCGCCCCCACACACACACCTCACAGGCGTCTCAGGAGTCAGTGGCCAGAGGCGTGATCAGACAAGGGAGTGTAAATAGGCCTTCCAGTCACAGAGCACCGTCCCCGTCCAGCTTCCACCTCCTGACGTGATGGATGCTGTCTTGGCCAGCGCCAGGACGAGGCTGATGAAGAGGTCCTGTGACTTAGCTGCCTCTGCCTCCCTCCTCTCTTGCTGTATCTTCTCCTTTGGTACTCGGCTGACACTGGTCCAGGCATTTGCTCACGGGCAGCAAAAGAGGAGTGGGGGTATCACTACGCTCCTGCCAGGACCCTTTGGCCTGTGCAGAGGTAAAGGCATCCCTGCCTGGCTTGAGGGGAAGAATGGGGCTTCTCTGGCACTGAAACCCCATTCAAAAAAAGTGCTTGAATGTCACTCTGGAGTGTTCTGGCACCATTCCAGAGCTACCTTCTGCTGCCATTTCTTGTATTGACCAGGTGCACATTATTTGTAAATATGCAAATTAGCACAAGAAATAATTTGTATACATTTCACACATGAAGTTTCACAAAACATTGCAGCTATGGTTGTGCCTTCTTCATGGGCACACACACACAGATTTGCATCAGAATAACTAAGGGTGTGATATAGAACTGACTGAGTGATTTTGGTTCCAGTTACCATGTAGGCAAACTCCAAAATCTACGAGGCCAAGAGAATGAAGTTAAGATCCCAGGGGTTTTCAAAATGCTTAAGTGATTTAGTCAAAACACTTAGTACCTCAGGGCTCAGTTCTGCTTGGGGACAGAAAATGATGCATTGGGGGGGGGGGGGAACTCATTTAATATAATTTAGCATCCAATGAGGTTGTGGAGGGAACAACACAGCACTGCCTTATCTATGTCTCCTAGCAGACATATCCATTCTCCAAGACAATGGGCGCTGAGTACCTATTTGCATACTGTGTGTAAGGGCTTAGTACCACTGCAATAGAAGCATCCAGTGTGTATGTGTGTCCCCTTACATGCCTCCTTTTGGGTGTTGCAGACCCTTATGAACAGGTAGTGGGTGCAGATGCTGGCACATCCTCCCCAGCACCGTGCAACTTTAACTGCACTGTGCAGCTGTTGTCAGCACATCTGATGTGAATGTATGCACATTCCGGCAGATGTGCCTCTCCCCTCCATAAGGTTCTGCGCATTGCAGGATTGTGTTTGCAGCTCTCTGTACAGCTCCTCTCATGAAAACAATCTGTTTTTTATGCAAAGGCCTGTCACTGTGGACTATCTACATGGAGTCCCAGTGAAGTTAACAGGACTCTGCACATGTATAAAGGTCAGCACATGCGATTCAGGTCCCAGCGCAGGAAAAGAACAGATAATAGGGTGGTGATGAAGTCTAGTATCCGAGTACACCCAAAACCTGTGATCATTTTGATCTATGTGTACACCTGTCTATTAGACCCTGAACTCTCACCAAGCCAGCAGCTCATGGCACAGAGACCCCCCAAATCAGCCCTCAGATGCTGGGGTTTAGACAAGAAATCTACAACTGAAGGGCTCCAAATCCCATCATCACCATTCCCCAGGTCCTGCTACTCCTCACCTTACCATGTAATTTTGAAAATATGATAATCTGATAAAAAGAGATGATGACATTGCCTGAAACTTGTTAATATCCACCAGAATTCAGCTCCCCATCCATATGGAGGGGAGGGAAAAGCAGTTTTAATTTCTTCATGTTTCCCTGAACGGAAACTGGCATTTAAAACACTATAGTTAGGGCCGTACCAAATTCACGGTTCATTTTGGTCAATTTCACGGTCAGAGGATTTTAAAAATAATAAATTTCATGATCTCAGCTATTTAAATCTGAAATTTCACAGTGTTGTAATTGTAGGGGTCCTGACCCAAAAAGGAGTTGTGAGAGGGTCTCAAGGTTATTGGGGAGGTGCAGTATTGGCACCCTTAATTCTGCTGGTGGCAGTGCTGTCTTCAGAGCTGGGCAGCTGGAGAGCAGTGGCTGCTGACCGGGAGCCCAGCTCTGAAGGCAGAGTCACCGCCAGTAGCAGCGCAGAGGTAAGGGTGGCATGGTATGGTATTGCCACCCTTACTTCTGTGCTGCTGTCTGCAGAGCTGGACCCTCAGTTAGCAGCTGCCACTCCCAACTCTGAAGGCAGAAGTGCAGAAGTAAGGGTGGCAATACCGCGATCCCCCTAGAATAACCTTGCGACCCCCTGCAACTCCCTTTTTGGTCAGGACCCCCAATTTGAGAAACACTGGTCTCCACCATGAAATCTGTTTAGTATAGGGTAAAAGCACACAAAAGACCAGATTTAACAGGGGAAGACTAGATTTCATGGTCTGTGACGTGTTTTTCATGGCCATGAATTTGGTAGGGCCTTAATTATAGTTATAGAAATCTTGCTACTAGGAAGAGAATATTCAGCAACTTAATCATTAGATAATATCAATACAGGGTCAATATTAGGCATAAAACAAGGACTAACCTGAAAATACATGGCCAAATTCAGTGGAGAATTGGGCCCATAATGCCTAGGGAAAAATATCCTCTCGCTACTCACCACTTTACCAAAGGGGCACATCCCTAGTCTATAAAAAACCTAGGGAACCATCTGTCTCTTCCCATCCACACTGAAATTACTACGTATTTCTAATCCTTTACTTTTCACGTGAGACTCATTCATTTTAAAAGAGGGGAAAGCAGAGAACTATTGGGGTCAGGTCAGATTTTGACATTGGTAAAACATCAGCTTTATTTACCTCCATATACTTGAGTTTTTCTCCATCCTAAAAACAAGCACAAGCATAGAGATGAGAACTCCCCTGAACACAGATAGTCTGAGTATGACAAAACAGAGTTTATACTAAAGATAAAAGGAACTTACTAAGCTCAGCCTCGAGCGTTCCTAAAAAGCAAATAAAAAGAAATTAATATCTAATAAATTACAAAAGAGCTCTTGTTCAAGTAAGTCCATATTTTGATAATGGTTTTGCTCATAAAGAATTCCTTTACTTAGATACTGAAACTGAAAATTTAGTTAACTTTAAGTTAAGGTTAATATTATCAAAACAAACTGTATAGTCGAGTATAGTGATAGATAGATAGATAGATAGATAGATAGATAGATAGATAGATAGATAGATAGATAGATAGATAGATAGATAGATAGATAGATAGATAGAACTCTTCCAATAGCTGTTTCACTGGAGGAATAGAGATGAGAACTCTACTGAACACAGACAGTCTGAGTATGACAACTTTTCTTTAAGTTTATGCTAAAGATGAAAGGAACTTACCAAGCTTATCCTGGAGGTTTTCTAAAAGACAAATAAAAACAAATTAATATATAACAAATTTACAAAAGAGCTCTTGTTCAGTGAATACACATTTACCTAGCTACTGAAACTGAAAATTTAGTTAACTTTAAGTTAAGGTTAATATTTTCAAAACAAACTATAGAAGTATATCTCTATATCTATATAGATATATATTACAGGAAGATGTGTAGAACTCGTCGAATAGCTATTCCATGGGAGGAATAGCAGCTTACACCTGTGGTCCTCTAATGTAGGTAGTCCTTTAGCTCAAATGGTAGCAGGAGATACTACAGCATTAAAGGGCTGGGATGCAAAATTTAATGATGTGGGGTGAAGACATCTTAATTACAGATTTTTTTAAAAACTAAAAACCTATGACATTATATTAACAAACTATGTTGAAATGTTATTTAGGTTGCCAGGTCAAGCACTCAAAATTAGAAAATGCCAGAATTAAGTTTCCTTGTACAACTTTAATTCAGGTCCCTTTTGCATATGCATACAGTCTTTAATTATATGATCACATAGTAGTTTTTTCACAGTAGTCTCATTCCATAGACAGGCCTATTCAGTCCCCATGTAAACCAAAAGGACTTCCAGGACCAGAAAAAAGCACATGGATCAATTCATTCCGGGGAACAATAACCGAAAAAACAAGAATGGAAGTGCGGGTCATAGATTTACAATCAGGGTTCCAGAGGGAAGACACAGAGCAGAGAACATTGGAAAGTGCACACTGGTCCTCAAAACAGTCCAGGGAGCTAGTTGATACCATGCAGAGGAACTCTGCCTGCAGATGTGAATGGACAAGTGCACAAAATTGAGCCCCACAGTCTTGGTCGCAGGGAACTCTTCCATCCAACCCCTCCTCCCTGATTGATATATGGCCAACAAGAGGTCGAGAAGGAGGTCCTACAACTTCATGGGGCCATGGATAGGAAATGCATAAATAAAAAGGTGCAGGGAAAAGTGCAACCAGAACCTCAAGAAGAGGTTCTGGAGGAGGCAGAAAAGGGACTGCAACCTGATGCACTGTAGGTATTCATGTGCCAAGGCCTCCATCTCACCACAATAAAAAACATCAGGGGAGTCTGAAAACCGCATCAGCAATACGTCCATGAACTGGGATTCAGCAAGGAGACCTACGCACTCGGTGACTGCAATGGACTTGGCTGCAGAGATCAACTTCCAGGTCCTGAGGAGGTCCTTGTGAAAGGCCATCAGCCTCGAGAGATCTTGAGGGAGACCTCTTGGATGGAGATAAAACAGCTGCCGGTCATATCAGATTCCTTGGAGGTAGCTGAGGAAGGTGTGCTCCATGTCAGACCATGTTCAGTATAAAAGAGACTCTACAGGGCCTCAAGATGGAAAGTGTGGACCTGGTTGAGAACGCATGCCATGCCCTGTCCTCTATCTTCCAGAAGGAGGCTCAGGATACCTGCAGAGACCTAGTGCTTCCCCAGCCAGAAGAACTCCAGGACTTTCCTCTGGAGGTTGACCAGAGTATCCAGGGGTGGGTTCAGGCTGATGAACTGGTGGCCAAATAACTGGAGGATAGCTAATGTGACGCCAATTTTTGAAAAGGGGTCCAGAGGTGACCCCAGCAATCACAGGCTGGTAAGTCTGACTTCAGTACAGGGCAAACTGTGTGAAACTATAGTAAAGAACAAAATTGTCAGACACATAGATGAACATAATTTGTTGGGGAAGAGTCAACACGGTTTTTGTAAAGGGAAATCATGCCTCACCAATCTACTAGAAATCTTTGATGGGGTCAACAAGCATGTGGACAAGGGGGATCCAGTGGATAAGTGTATTTAGATTTTCAGAAAGCCTTTGACAAGGTCCCTCACCAAAGGCTCTTAAGCAAAGTAAGTAGACATGGGATAAGAGGTAAGATCTTCTCATGGATCGGTAACTGGTTAAAAGATAGGAAACAAAGGGTAGGAACACATGGCCAGTTTTCAGAATGGAGAGAGGTAAATAGTGCTGTCCCCCAGGGGTCTGTACTGGGACCAGTACTATTTAATATATTCATAAATTATCTGCAAAAAGGGGTAAACGGTGGGTTATCTGTAGCACAAGAACAGGAGGCAAAAGCATGTTATAGATGGTACTGCAGACTTGAAGTATCCTTTCTTTCACATATAGTGTCACTCCCCCACCAGCATGACCTGTTCTGTCCTTCCGATATATTTTGTACCCTGGTATTACTGTCCCCCATTTATTATCCTCATTTCACCAAGTTTCTGTGATGCCTATTATATCAATATATTCATTTAATATGAGGCACTCTAGTTCACCCATCTTATTATTTAGACTTCTAGCATTGGTATATAAGAACTTTAAAAACTTGTCACTTTTTAGCTGTCTCCCATTACATGATGTAATTGAATGGGACTTTTTTTCATTTGACTGTTTCTCATCAGATCCTACCTGTATTTTATCATCTTCCATCCTCTCCTCCTTACTAGGACATAGAGAATCTCCATTAGAAGATCCTCTCCTAAGGGATGTCGCTGTCCAATCGACGTGCTCCTCCGCACCAGTCAGCTTTCCCCAGCCCTTAGTTTAAAACTGCTCAACAATCTGGTTCCATTTTGGTTTAGATAAGTTCACGGAGGACAGGTCCATCAATGTCTATTAGCCAAGATGGTCAGGCACACAACCCCATGCTCTGGGTGTCCCTTAATCTCTGACTGCTAGAAGCTGGGACTGGACGACAGGGGCTGGATCACTCAATAAATTACCCTGTTTTCTTCACTCCCTCTGAAGCATCTGGAACTAGCTACAGTTGAAAGACAGGATACTGGGCTAGACGGATCATTGGTCTGACCCAGTATAGGCCGTTCTTATTAGGAGCATCAAAATATTTTGGTTCAACAATATAGACACATTTTGTTTCATAGTGTTAAAATGTTTGATTTCAACTTTATTGTGTTCAGGTATTTCATTTATATGTATATTATATTAAAATATTAAATATGGAGCATAGATATAATACTATACATATTATATAAATACAATGGAATTTAAAAATAATATTTTAATATAAAATAAAAATCAAAACAAAATGAATCAAAACAATGATGTCAAAATAAAACATTTTGATGATGTTTAAATGTCACGTTTCATCCCTTTCCTATTGAACATTTCATCAAAACATTTAAATGAAATGGCATCTTTCATTTGCAAATGTTTTTGCAAATTTTTTGACCAGCCCTAATTGTTGCAGGACTATGTGTCCATAATCTCTTTTATTGTCCTAAACTCAAGGTTTAACTCAGGAAATAGCTATGTCCAGGAATCACTGGGCTACTGTCTGTCGACAGACTCCAGGAGGAAAGGGTTTGGCCCAGACCATTCATGGTGCCTTTGCTGACAGAGTCAGAGAGGAGTATGACTTGACCTCAACCGTGGAGAAGGGCATCACTAAGCTAGCCCAGCCCCTCTCCTCCCAATGAGGTTGGCAGCCTTCCTGGGTGTGTTTAGAAAATCCTCCACCTCATCTTCCAAGCCAGTTTGGCCAGGTTGGGCCTCAAACACCCAAGAGAGCCCCCTCAGTGGTCTTCAAATTTCCACCAGGACAGATCTGTGAACTGCCACAGGAGACCTTCTCTCCACTGGCGAGTCCTTTCTTGCTTGGCCAGTTGCACCTCTGGCTGCCAGCCCATGAACTGCTCCTGCTGCTGACAGAGCTGGGCTTGCAGCAGCTGCAGCCGGGCAGTGAGGTCTGCTGCTATAGCTTTAGGCAGGATCATGAGGTTGTTGCATCAGTAGAAGGGATCTTCAATGATCCCTCATCCCATTAACCACATCATCCAGACAGAAAGAGACAAACTCCCATTCCCCCCGTCCTTTGGAGATATTTACATACAATTGCTAACACATTGCCACTGGCCCAAAACATTTACCTCTCTCACTCTCCATTTCTGATTTAAAGAAAGAAAAGGGCAAAAGATGCGATCTCATGCTGCCAGGTACCTGGGGATAATTAATGTAACTGCGCTGTGATTATTAAAGAGATTGACTGACAGTGTGACACAGATAGACCTCTCTATGGAGGTCAGAATACAATCAGTCAGAAGCTAGAATATCTTAATGTAGAGGTATTTGTTGCTTTATTTTATGTTTTTGTAAGTAGATGAATTTTGATGTGTTCTTTGAAAATTATTATGAGACCATCAGCTTATAAGCTTGTTTTACTCCAATTTGTCAAAAAATGCAAATATGCCCTTCCTTGTATCTTGCATACCATTCTGTAGGGCACATTTCAAAGAACATTACAACAAACACAAAACTTCCCCAAACTCTTTGTAAGCCTGAACTCCAGGCTGAGAAGGTGTGCCACCAGCCTTCCCCCCCCCAAAAAAAGCCTAAAAAGAAAGTATTTTAAACTCTCAAACTTTTAAAATTGTGGAAATTAAAACTTATGGTTCCACTTATAACAATATTAAAAAAGAAAACTACTGAAAGCCATACTTAAGTCACCCAAACAAATTGAACTCTAGCAAGAAGTCAATATAGGAGTAAAGTTTGTGACTAGAGAACTGAAATCTTGGCATTGGTTCTACAACATACTTGTCTCTGATACTAAATGTGATCCTTCAGCATGACCATGATTTCATTCTGTGTCAGTGCCAGAATGTTCTGATCTCAGCCTTTGAATTTATATAGAAATGCTCAAGCTTAACTGGAAACAAATGGTTTTGTGTTGGAATGTCCTTGTTTTGTGTAAGTGTAGGGGATGTGGATGTGCATGGAGTTGGCAAGGGTCAATGTTGGTGTGGCGCTGGGAAATGATTGGGGGGGTCATGGCAATGTGGAGAGGCAAATAAGAGTCATGGGCCAGGATGCGATTCATGAGCAAGAGTGTAGAGGCAGGCAGCTGGTGGTGACCATCTGAAAGTTGAAGGGCAGAGGGAGATGTGGGTGAGGGAGACAGAGGGAGTTGGGGGATGTGTAGTGTCAGGTCAGGAGGGTTCATGGATCAGGGAAGTTCCATCCCCTAGTGGAACAAGGAACAAGGTTTATAACAGGAAGAGGGTTATGACACTTACCAAGGTCAGCAACGAGTTTCCCTAAAAACAAGAACAGAATGTAATGTAAGTTTCTTAATAGCACATCACATAAATAATTCCATATGCATTCGGGCTCAGGCCCTGCTTCAGTCCCATAAAAATTAATGGAAAGATAATTATCCCAAATGAAAAACGCTGTTAACTTTAAGAACTTGAGGCTGTGGTTAAAACAAACCATAAAATAATGTTCTAGTGACGAAATTTACCAAAACACAAGCTTAGGATGTCAGAAAGGCTGGAAATTCACAGTTCTGCTTCTGAGACTGACCTTTTCCCAGCCACTGCCCCAGCCACCATCTACATAAAGGTTATGTTATAAACTTAGGAGGAAGTGAAAAACACCTTCACCTCATTGACAACCCAGTGAGTGACAGAGTGAAGGGTCACTATAACGTACACTTGCCTACACCCTATGCCTGTCCATGTGGGGCAAACTCCTGCCATCCTTGGGGCTCTCAGGGGTGCTTTGCAGAGACTTGCCGGGTAGGAGGGGGATGGACAGCACTCTGCTTTGCATGTAATAACTACCAAGATGAGGATTCGTTCATCAGATCCCCTAACAGCTGCCTGGGAGGGACCAGCAACTTGTTCCAAAGCTCTAGATGCTCCTTCCCACCCCCCAATGCAGTTCCCATAGAAGAGCCTTACCTCTCTCTGCAACATGCGCCGCTACGAGAGAAGAGGAAAGACTTGTTAGAAATGGGGAGAGTCCAGTACAAATGCTGCACATTTTACAGAGCACTGGTTGGCTGGTAATTAACTATATCAACAGACTTCCACTAGAACCGTTCCCATTGACCCCCTTGTATTGTGTATCACAGGGGCCTGCACTTGCCTGTCGTAGCGATTCTCCCGCCTGTGGTTAAAGTTCTCCTGTTCAATTAGAACCCAAACCCTGGAACATATTTGTGCAGCCTCCTCAACTGACTTGGGAATAAAGATCAGCTTGGCTGGACTGGACTGGTACTGAGCTGGGCCCAACAGCATGAAAACAACCAAATCTCTTCAGCTACCCAGGCTTCGGTCACAGCCCATTTCAATACTCCTGTGGAGAACAGCCTCCTGTGTCTGACTGGGAGCCAGGCCCTGAGAATGGCTATCCACACGGAACTTGGTAGTACAGAAAAATACAGAATTGCTGGAAAGGAGATCGTGACAGACAGTGACTGGCATGTTGTCTGGCAGGTCAGGAAGGGACTGTCTGCAGCCCCATAGGATTGGGCACCATTGCTTCACCCCTGTGCAGGATAAAAGATTCTTTGAAAAACCGGGCTACAGGAGAGGAAATGAGACTGACACTACCAGAGCTAGCAGGCAATTTGTGAGGCTCAGACACTGCAGTGATGAGCATCACTGGAAAGCCCATGAGGAAATGAATAGCTCCATATTCAGAGCAGAGTTTGGGTGGTGAGAGTCAATAATGCCAGGCTGCAGGAAGGGAAATAATAATTGCCGGTGTTATTTTTAAAGTGGTCTGTAGCTAATCATTGGTTCTCTGCCTTAGATCTTGATGAGCTAAGGACAGGAGTGGCCACCTTCGTAGACAGGGCCCTGAGAGGCAGGGGTTAGAACCCTCACCTGGGACTCGCACCATGGCTCAATTCCTGGCTCTACCATAGACTCTCCGTGTGAGTTAGGGCAAGTCACCAAGGGCTTGTCTCCACGTAAAAGTTGGGCTGCTTTAACCCTGCTGCTGTGCAATACCTGGCTGTGCTCTCTGCTAAGGGTTGTGAAGTGCACAAAACCAATCACTGGCATATTTGAGCCCAGAACTCTCATTTCCAAGCCCAGTGCAGCGTTCTTAGGCTAAGGGCATTTTGACGGCTGAGTGTCTCTCTTGCTGCACTACGCAGGTGTTCTGTTAGCACTCCGTATTTCCAAAGGGAAGGGCTCATCATTTCATATTGTAAATCATGGGCATTGGTTTTGGCATTTGGTTTCATCCTTTAGACATTAGCTATGGGAATCCAGTGATATGTTTCATGTGGCTCCTAGGCCCTTCATTTATTTCCCAAGATATGTGCAAAAAAGTAATGGAAGACTTCAGATTTCCCTCACAAATTCCACCCCAGGGCCTGTCCTGAACTCCCAGTTTAGGGTAATCTGACTTTTCTTGAGAAATTTAGAGAGGAAGCAAAATATGGCTTCAAATAAAAATGTAGCTGCATCTTTAACTATGGAGAAACCACCTCCACTCTCAACTAATTTATAGTTGAAAGGAAATCTCTGAGTACACTGTAGTGTCCCCTTATAACTTTACCTTTTGCCTTGTGTTGCTTCCGGAAGAAGTAGCTTGCTGTGAAAGTGAGCAAACCCACAACAACCAGGAATATGTACATAGCCACCTTAAAGGGGTAGCCCCTCAGGAAGAATGGATCTGTAAGACAAAGCCTCATTAACTTGGAAACATTGATAGAACAGATGTGTCACTAGCAGGACCTTTGTGGTGATCATGGCATTGTGCCACTGGTTGGAAGTAGAGGTGGTCAGGAATTTTTCAACTAAATTGTTTTGTTTTTTTTGGTCAGAAAATGACAATTCATCATAACCAAATATTTTTTACAGGAAAGGATTCTTGGATCCAGGATGGGATTTCTGGTCAAAACCAGAGAAGGAGTGAAACCCCTGAATATCCACTAGCCCAGTGGCTAGGACACTCACAGAGGATATCCAGGATCAAATTCCTGCTCTCCCTGATTTGGAGCAGGGATTTGACCCCCAATCCCAGGTGAGAACCTGACTAGCAGACTATTGCGAGGTGGGGGTCTCTCTCTTCTCTCTCTTGTTTTTAATTAAAACTTTTGAAAACTGTCAGTTATGTCCCCATGGGGAAAAGGAATTTTTTTGAAGATTTGAAAATCTTCATTGGACAGGGAACCATTTCCCTCCCAGCTCGACTTTGAGAGCCCATTCTGGCTGCACAAAGGGGCTTTTTCTATACTACAGAAACTTTGCAAGAGTCCCTCTCCATTGCGTATTCCAATTCAACTCCAGGCATGTTAACGGTGTTAACAATAATAAGACACACTTAAACACCCCTCTCCCGAAAATTAGCCACGTTTCATTATACTCCCTCTGCAGCTTGGAAGGCCGGTTCGTGAAGTCTAACCTCCCCTAAATTCACCACACGCGGTGTTTAACGAATAGCCTCTGCGCAGCTCTATGCACATGCACGTTGTAAATCCAATATTTAAATTAGCCCTAAACATGCCCCCTTTTTGGTGAATGGCTGAACTGTGTGGCTTTGATGAACACCAACCTGCAATGTAGACCACAGACTCTTTCCCTGGGTTGAGGTGGGAGTTCCTGACAGAGCAGGACAGATCCTGGCTGGAAGTTTTTGTTACAATAATGGAAATTTGTGCTGCATACAGGCCGTTATCATGTTGAGTTATTTTTTCTGTCAGGGATGGTAAGTGCTGCCTGCTGAGGTCTCTCCACTGCACCTGGGGCTCTGGGTACCATCCAGCAGATTCACACACCATGTGGATCCCTCCGCTCTGGTAGCTGTCGATAGAGATGCGAGGAGTAGAGCCCAGACCTAGAGGAAAATGGAGTGAACCTGTGTGAACCCTACACAAGCATTATGGATCTCTTCAGCCTGGAAGGTGAGCGTTTAAGCCTTTAGGAGAAGGAAAAAGTGGATCGTTGTCCCTCCTGTAGAAGGGCAAGAGCCTTTCGCTGCGTCACTGCCGGGCTCTGGCTGTGAGAAGCGTTTCATTATTCCTGAGCCCTAAAGCTGGAAGCCTATCTCAACGTGAACAGCAAATTTCAGCTCCAGGATAAAATGATAGGCCGCATCATTGAACAGAGCGAGCAGCCCAACTAAACTGGCTGTGAGCTCCAGGAAATAACAATTCCAGTGGCAGGAAATTGAAGCCAGACAAAATATGGTGCAAATTTTTCACAATGTGTGTACTTAAATCAGTGGAACAAGGGACATGGTGGATTCTCCATCTCCTGTAGTCCTTCAATCAGAATTGTAAGTCTCTTCCTTAAAAATAAATAAATTAATAAATATTTGCTCTAGCTCACCCATAAGTTACTGGGCTGCATGCAGGAATCACTGAGAGAAATTCTCTGGCCTGTGTCATACAGAGGGTCAGATTAGATTATCATAAAAGTGCCTTCCTGCCTTAACATCTATGACTCTATGGAATGTATGAGTGGCTGAGGATTAGAAACCTTAAGTGCCAAGTTGCAGTAGCAGGTGAGCAGTTACTTCACAGCCTTAGTAAGGAAGGGGAGGAAATGTGGCCTATTGCCTCCCCCCCCCACCCCGCGCTCTCTCTCTCACACACACATTTGCGACCAGGACTCGTAAGACAATTGTCTACAGAGATGACATAAATAAATAAAAATAAAATAAATTAATGGAGATATCCTATCTTCTAGAACTGGAAGGGACCTTAAAAGGTCATTGAGTCCAGCTCCCTGCCTTCACTAGCAGGACCAAGTACTGATTTTGCCCCAGATCCTTAAGTGGCCCCCTCAAGGATTAAACTCATAATGCTGGGTTTAGCAGGCAAATGCTCAAACCACTGAGCTATCCCTCCCCCCATACATAGATGACAGATTGCGCCAGTGGTAAAAATAAGTGCCAGCAGGTTAAGCGTTAACAGTCTCAGACCCACGCAGGTGAAGATTTAACAGCAATCAGTGCTGTAATTCTCTACTCATGCCTCTGGCCTGTTTGTTTGAGAAGTTCAGTTATTTATTGGGACAAGTTTAAAGAATGAAGAAAGGGTGATACAGCAGTATAGTGTATTTATAGTCTCTTTAAAATTAGTTGTTTAATCATCAGAAGGCCTCCCATTAAGGTCTCTCACATGAATCAGATACATGCAGAGGCTGTATGCTGAAAGTTTGTAGGAGCCATCTTGTCATGTTATAACGAGAGTTCTGGTTTAAACTTTATATTCCTGGTCCTGCTCTGTATCCTGAATTCTGTAGCACACTCATAAGGAAGATACTCTCAGTTGCCTGACAATGCTAGAAAGCAAGATACCCCTAGTGTAGATACGGTTATACTGGCAAAGCTATGACCATTCCCCATAAAACTTGATTTGCTCAGGGTGGGTGAAATAAGGTGGTACAAAGTCACTTTGCTGGTATAAACCACCAGGACCATTTTGCTGGTATAGTTTATGTAGTAGGAAGAGGGCCTGAAACATAAGCCCTTGTATCAGAGGCCTGGTGTGAGGCCTGAACTAGGGTGACCAGATGTCCCGATTTTATAGGGACAGTCCCAATTTTTGGTTCTTTTTCTTATGTAGGCTCCTATTACACCCCACCCCCGTCCCGATTTTTCACTGTCTGGTCACCCTAGCCTGAACTAAAGTAGTCTTGTTGATATAAAGCAAAGAAGCAAAGTCGGGTTTTGCCTGCTTGCAAGCAGACAGAATCTGGCAAGAATAGGGCTGATATTGCAGAAACACACATTCCTAAGTAGTGTTAGGCACAAATATATGCAAATGCATTCCAGAAAGGTGGCACCAGAACACCTCGATAACAAACATGTTCCCCAAAGAGAACAGGAACACGCTGACCCATCTTAAGGAAAAAGTCATGATGACAGCATGATGGATAGAGATTTTTTGATCGAACCAACATATACAAGATAACGGGTGGCACCCTAATACGTCAGAGGGTGGCACCCTGGTACATCAGGAGTAATGAGTAACTTGTTTGTATCTGTGTATAAAGATGTATCTCAGAGGGGGTGTCTTTGTCTGGCCGAGGGGAAAATGGAAAGTCGGGGCCATTCACTGAGCTGGTCCATTGTCACAGGCATACATGTGTTAGTGTACCTGTAACCATTGAGCCAGGGCATTAGTACCATGTCTCGTCAGCAATAAACCTGACCAAGTACCTTTGCTGAAAACCGAGTCTGTGAATTTATTGGGTGGTTCAATCAAAGCCTGCTGTCTCTGCTATCTGCACAGAACTGGAAAGCACGCTGAAAGAACACACACACAGCCAAATATCTATCAACATCTGACGACAGTGTACTCTGGCATAGCTACCAGGAACAAACTCCGAGGGTAGACCTGGGCTGTAGCACCATGGGCTGCTGCAGGTTTTCGTGACTAAGTTGCTAAACAAAGACCTTGTGAAGCTGCAGTGATTTAACACAAGGTGTAAGTTGAAAACCATCTAGTTAAACTGGTGCAAAAAGCCACATGAAACTGATTTTTGTTTATTGTTTATTTAACTCAGTTTGGAACAGGTTTAACTAAACCAGTGATAGCTGCCTTTAAACCAGGGGTCTCAAAGTCCCGGCCTGCGGGCCATCTGTGGCCCAAGAACCTCCCCACTGCGGCCTGCGGAGGAGAAACGCATGCAGACACGCTGCCAGCAATGTTTGCTGCAGGCGCGGCCCCTGCAACTTCCATTGGCTGGGGGAGAGGGACAGAGATACCATCACTTATGGCTGAGCAGAGTCAGCCATGGAGGCAGCATCACTTTTTTCCACAATGAATATAAACAAGTCAAAATACCGAACACAACTATCTGATGCACACCTTGCTGCAATCCTGAAGGTTTCAACTGCACAGTCACTGAGGCCAAACATCAACAAACTGACAGAACTGAAGCATGGCCAGGTGTCTGGCAAACACTAAAAACTCTCTGGCAGGCGAAGAATTGTATAAAGTTGTATAACAGTTTTATTATTTCTAAGAAATTCAAAATAAAAAAATACAATATAAACGTTTTCTTTTCTGAACACCATCTTCAGTGACACTAGTGGCCCGCTGGGAGGATTTGAGGACTGGCACTGGCCCTACGGTAAATTGAGTTTGAGACCCCTGCTTTAAATGGATGTAGGAGCGTCCACTTAGGAGTTCGCACTCATCTAAATAAACTGGATTAAAAACCAGTTTAATTTAAACTGATACAACTTTCCCATGCAGAGAAGGCCAGAGGCTCTAAGGCCTGGTCTACACTTCAAATGTAGATTGACACAGCTATGTCACTCAGGGGTGTGAAGAATTACAATGGAGTGCTTCTATTGAGCTAGCTCCTGTTGCTTGGGAAGGTGGATTACCTACAGCAATGGGAAAACCCTGCCATCGCTTTAGTCTGCATCTGCACTATGGGGTTGCAGCGGCATAGCTAGAGTGCCACTGTAGCCCCCCTAGTGTAGGAAAGCCCTAAGTCACATTCTGGCAGCCTCGTTGTGAAAAGGCACCAGGAGCTGCCTGGCAGCTCTGCCTGGGGAGATCATGGTGTATTTATTACCTAACTGAATATTATCTCATTCTTTGGCGAGCAGTGGAAGCTGAGACCAAAAGGGTGAAATCCAACAAGGTTTATTACGACAACAATGAAGCAACACCCATATTTACACTTCCTGTTTCCTGTTGGCTTCTAAACAAAGACTACAGCTCTCAGCAATCAATGCTGGATCTAGCAACACCACATTTCCCTCGTCTTAGAACAAACTCAATCTTACGGCAGTAATACTAATCCAATAACCTGCTACTATAATAAACATAAATTATGTAATTAGCAAATAAACAATAACTAAGAAGTAGTTATGTAACTGTAATTGGAATTTTAGTTATAATAGAAGACTGTTCCTTTAATAATCACAGAACACAGTCTCTAGCCAATACAGTTGGCTGTCAGACTCTGACAGCATATTCGTCAGGCCCAATATCCTGTCAGTTATCCTGTATTGTCAGCAGCAAAGGGCTAGTTAGATAGTCTGAAACATTGCACTATGTCTTAGTAAGCAGGGGCAAGATGAATAGTGCTCCAGACTGACCATCTGAAAGCTTGTAAGCGTGAGGTTCTTGTGACGGGGTCCCTGGGGTGCAACATGGACTGTGGGACCACTGAGCGCTCTCTCCCTCCAACATGGGGTGCCCCTCACACTGTGATGCTGTGGGTCAAGCCACATACCCCTGGCAGGCACTACCCTTACACAGCCATCCATAGACAGCAACACGCCCAGCTGAGTTACATGAATGCTTCTCCCAGTCATTCATGAACCAACAATAGGGAGGCTCCAGCCAATTCCCCCCCAGCTCCCCAGCCAATTCCTCCCAGCTCCCCAGCCTTGCACCCCAGAGCTATACCATCTTGCCCTGGTCAGAAGCCTAACCAGAATAAGTTCATTACCCAGACTGCCCCTGCTTCGATGTAAACTGAGCTGAGATTTCCCAAGCACTTCAACCAAACCACACTGTTTTAGATAAAATATAAACTACAGAAAGATAGATTTTAAGTGATTATAGGTAGCGAATGTACAAATCAAAGTTGGTTACCTAAGAAATAAAAGTAAATTCACAATCTGATGCCTATAAACTAAACAGGATAGTATAGTTCCTCAATACACAGGCTGGGGCTCTTTTCAGGCCTGAAAA